CAGAGGGGCAGAGAAGGGGGCACAGCTTCCGTTTCCGTGCGCGCGGGAACGGGGGCAAAGAGGACTCATTACCAGTGCACAGTGTGTGTGTGTGTGTGCGTGTGTGCGTGGGGGGCTACTGCACTGCCACCAGCCGCCGTCGCACACTTGCACTGCGCGCCAGAGGCGCGTATTTCTAATTCAGGAAACGCCCCCTTTGAGTGTGAGCGCCGCCGCCGGCCGCCGGGCTGAGTGGTGTTGTGGCTCCTGAGTCCTACCGCTCGGTACACTCACTTCACTCACACACACACACTGCCAGAGACTACTACAGCCAGACCAGAGGAGAGGCTCGGGGGCTCTTCACTAAAACAATTATCGTAATTTTACGAAATTTCCTCGGTTAATTTCCTATTACGAAAACTTCGTTTTTAAACATTTACGTCGTTATTTTACGAATTGCTTTGTAAAATCCAAAGTTCCATCTAGGACGTATAAAATTGTTATAATTTTTGTCTAATTTTGTGACGAAAATTTGCATTCGTTACGAAATATATTTGTAACTTTACGAAACGTTTAATATTGATACTTACGAAATATTTTCGTAATTTTTTTTACGAAGCATTTCGTAACATATTTTTTTTTTGTAAAATTACGAAAACTTCTTACAGTGATTCTAGTGTGTGGGGAATGTTCATGTTCAACTCGAGGATGCGGTCATGGATGGACCATCATCCCATAGTCTATGGGGTTCTCGTAGGATACCATGGGAGGTCGACTCGCCATGTATGTGTAATGTATTCGCATAGATTTTTGGCCTCTTTCCTCCTATGATTGCCCTCTAACCGCCCGAATAAGAACGACCACGGCGCTGGCGACCGGAGCACTTCCAATACCGCTCAACGTCGTAATCGCGGGGTTGCATCCGGAAATCGCCGTGAGCAGCAGTTTGTTATTCTATTCTCCTGCTTCCGTTAGTGCCGAGGCTGAACAGATCCCTCGGCCGCCGCAGAGCCCTCGGCCGCGGCCCGTGCATGTGCCGGCATGTGCTGCCCTGGGCGCCGCCCAGCGTAGGCTCGGCCTTGACGAGCAGGAAGAGCATCAGATCCCGCCCAGGCCTCAGCCCTGGCCCTGGCCACAGCCCCGGCCGCACACGATGCTCGAGGTTTCTCTCCCTCGGCGTTTAGCCACGGGGCCCACCACGCGCGAGGTGGGATCGTCTAGCCTAGCAGCCTAGCCGCCCCTTCGCTTTCGGTACGCCCTCCGCGGTTTTTTGAGAATCCTCAATAACCTGCAATTTCAATTTCAATCTCCCTCCCCCTCCTCCCAGTCCCACCCTCGCCCTAGTCCTAGTCCCACTCTCCCTCCACCCTCACCCCTCCCTCACCCTCTCCCTTCCTCCCCGCTCCCTCCTCCTCCCTCCCCGCCTTCTAACTCTCTCATAAGGTCAAATTGCCAGGAATATCCGGGATGATGGAAGTGCATTGCACATGTATTAATTCCTAAACATAGTTGTGTGTATTGTTTTAAAATGAATTCACTGAAAAATATACAGTTTTTAGCCCGCCCTTCTGCTTTGAAAAAGCTATCCAGCGGGCTTATGCAAACGACCTCGTGTGTGTCTGTGTGTCTGTGTGTCTGTCTGTCTGTCTGTCTGTTCCACAAGAAGGAGATGTGCTAGAGACTTGAAATTTTCAGGGTATCTTAAGGTCCACTTCTAGAGAACGAAACGCCTACGGCAAATCCTGGCAACCACCCCTAAGGGTGTGAATGGGGGTATCCAAGGTTCAAAAAATCTCCCAAAAAGTATTTTTTTTTTATGTTCTCCTAAGGGGTAACTCGTCAAAGTAGAGCCCTTCGGGCGAAAATTTCGTCCGTTTTGCTCTATCTCTAACCGTTTAGGCGCTAGAGGGTCTTTTTTGACGAAAATAAGCTAAAAATTGCCATAGTGAACAATAAGTTGTAGAAAAAGGCCTAAAAACCGCAAAATAAAAAGTTAACTCTCCCCTTCACCCCCAAAAAACGTTTTCTAAGCAGAAGGGTGGGTTGTAGTCGCGGTGCTCCACCGTTACATCCCTTTCTCGAGTCTTCGGGGCAAACACAAAGACGACGGGTTTAATCAGGCCGAAGGCCCGCTACATCATTTGATCATGTTTTTCAGCAAATCTCTTGACAGAAATGGTCGGGCCGCAGGCCCGACCATCGCCGCCGGCAGGCCAAGCAGGCCCGGCCCCTGCCGAACGGAGTTGCCGGCGGAGCGAAGCGGAGCTGGCAACTTCGTTTGGCGGAAGGGCGGGCCTGCTTGTTATACTCATCCCTCTTCCTCCGCATCCCAGCCTATTTTCCTGTATACACGAGTCGAGATACAGATAATTTCGCCCCTGCATGTGCATGGCTTGGCAGGCGGGCTGTGTGTGTTTGTGTGGGAGGTCGAAAGGGAGGGAGTGTTTGGTGATTGTATGCTATTGCGGGATTTCCTGTTTCATTTTCCCTTGATATCGTTGTTGTCAATGTTAGGGACATTTTCAATTATTTATTATTTTTTTTTTTTTGAGGCTAAGATTAAAGGGACGCTGCTGGCAAAAAGATCAGGGCTTGCTGATAAAAAAACAAAAAAACAGGTGATAGCGAGTTTTGTACGAGTGTTTTGCGCGGGCTGAAAGAAGAGAAGGACGGGAGGGCGAGGGGAGAGTGAGAGAGAGGAGGGAGCGCGACTGCTCTGTGCCCCCAGTCATGCCTCTCCATTTCTCCCTCAGCTGCTAATCCTTTTAGCTGAATGGTCAGAGTGCGAGTGCGCTGGCGAACCGAGCCGAG